ATTACAAAAAGTAATTAACTTTTTTATTCTTCTTTTGTAAAATAGAAATATATACTTAAAATTTCTATATTATTGGATTTATGTTTTGATTTGAGATATTTATGTGGTTTACTTTATGTTTGATTCATCTTGATTTCGACTATGATTTTTCTATTTTAAATATTTATGAAATACAATTGACAATGAATTAAATGAGTAGATAAAATACATGTTTGCAATTTACAACATCGTTTTATTTAATTTAGAATTTTAAAACCGGTTATCTTATGGGAATTCTCATACCGTTCTCGTCCCATCTTGTCCTATCCCATTTTCCGTCCCGAATTTTAAATAGAACACAAATGAGATATATTTTTCTTGTCTCAAAAATCCCGTTCATATCCCATTCTTGTGAAATCCCGTCCAATATTCCCGTTTGCCCACTCTCTTATTATTTTGATAGATTCTTAATTTGGTTTTTCATATATGTTATTGATGCCAATTACTTATCCCAAGGTCTGTGAGAGATTGTGTGGTAAAATTTAACCACATCGACACGAATACTGAGTTTACCCCGAATGTGGTAGCTACAAATTAAAAATTCGAGCTATGGCCTCAATACATCTATCTCTCTGACTCGAAGAAAGATATGATTCAGATCACCAAATTCCCATTATCAATGTAACCTCGTCTTTGAGGTTGGCTCCATTCTGCTTCCGCTGAATCCATCGAGCACATTTGAAGGTCAGTTGTAGGAGCTTCACTTCTTTGTGATCTGCTCAAAGGCAGATAGCATCGATGATCTCGTGTTGGCTATTTCCACAAGAGTTTCAAGAGCTGGCAGAAGAAAAAAGAATTTCAGCTGTGAGCTTGAATCTCTTTAGCTGTGAGTATGCTTGTGGTGGTGATGATGTTACCTGTCTCAAATGATAGTTGAGCGCCACGCAGCTTAGGTGAGACTAGGCCTCCAAATACCGACAGAGATTTCGCTCGTTCTTTCTCAATCTGGAGATTTAACACATCTGAATTAGTAAAACCCACATTCACATTTCAAAAACAAATAGAGTTTGTGCATAAAGATAAAATGATTGCTCACCTCTTCATCAGCTGCTAACAAGGTTTCATTCTTGGCGGATGGTTTCTCTTCTACCAAATTACATAAAGCAAGAGATGAGACGCAAAAAAAGAAAGAGCAAAGAAAAACCAACAGATAGCTTACCAGAAACGCCTCGATATCGTAGCTGTGGGCTTAAAGGTGAATCCATCTCCGAAACAACATCAGTAGATAAGTCTTTGCCTTTCCTGCTACCCTTTGATGCCCACTTGGATAAAGCAAAATGAGGTACTGATCCCAAAGATTCAACTGCAAGAGTTTCATAGGATTGTATATAAGTGGCTTCCCCGCACAAAAAAAAAAAAGAAGCTACGGCTACATACCTTCCACAACGTATAAATATGAATCATTAAACTATCAAACGCTTTAGGAGCATACTTTTGTGTCAACTTCTCTATAGGAAACCGTCAGTATTTCCGCTCTGAACATTAGCAAATAGTGAGAAACTTACTCTCCTGGTCTGTCACTTGCAATGTCGAAGCAGCGGGATGATCCTTGAGGTCTAAGAGAGTACTGTTGATACGTAATGTTCCCATAGAGTGTCGAGCACTAGCTAGATCAAGCCACCCCTGCAAAAATAACACATTTTTCAGCAAGTTTCTAAACCCGGTGGTCTCATCCTCATTAGCTAGCCAATCAACAAAAACGCTTTCCATGCGATCCTTTTAAATACACATAGAATTTCAAGATGTTACAAGGAGCAAGCACAGAAATCTGAAACAGAAAATGTAGCTGACTCATACAAAATCTAAACTTTGAAATGATTTAGAAGAGACCAATTTAGCCACTAAGCTTTAAAACTAAATGCAGGCTAAGTAACAAACACATCTAAAGTCATTATACATTACCAAATTTTGAGAATTGTATCGATCGGAAAATACAAAAAAAAAAAATCCATAAGATCCAATTTTTAGCTTCATATTCCC